GGGGTCGAAATCCCAGGGTGAGTCACCTAGTCCTCCCCTTGTCAGCAAATTAGCGGGCCGGCCCGCGACCGTGATACACGTGAATCGCGGCTCGCTGTATCCTTCCGCCCATAGCTACGATGTGTCTCGTAGTCATAGTTACCATAGTTACGAGATACAGCATAGCTACGGGCGGACGGACTCAGCGAGCGGCGATTCGCGTGTATCACGGTCGCGCGCCGGCCCAAGCGCTAATTTGCTGAGACAAAATAATTAATTATTCGAAAACTATTGCGAATTTCGCAAAATGGTATTTGACTTTTCTGTCCCGTTTAATCCGTTCTTCTTTTCTACGATTTGTATCAAGAAAGGTTTCGGACATCCTATATATATATTTTAATAATTTTTTTATGGAAGTTGATTATATATATAAATGGAAATTGTCTTTATATTGAATTTATTTAAATTTTATTTACTGTCGAATTTTTTAATAATTTTCTTGTGATTCCAACATCTCGTCAGTAGCGAACATTATAGTTTCCAACTCGTCATTTACATTTAATACATCCAATTTTGATGTTTTATCATTTGTTCTGAAAATAAGTATTATACTTATTAAACGACTGATGTCTGTTTCTACCAAGTTTGGTTAAGTTAATCCGTTGGTTATTCTATTGAAATTCACCAATCAAATTTATCAAATATGATTAATGATAGATGCGCTTGATATTTTGAGATTAAATAACCAGCCGATTAATTAATCAAAGTTGAAAACGGGTTTAAAGGTGACATTCACCAATTTCAGTTAATCGACAGTTAACCCTATGGGATTTGACCAATAACATTAGCCAATTAACTCAGCTAATCGATACCTATTAGTCAATTCCGTTGAGTAAACCATTGATTATAAAGAAACAACAACTTAATCGAGGTTTAACCAGAGTTGATGAAAGTTACTTTAATAATAACATTGTGTTAATGTTAAACCGGCAGCACATAGAACGCGGCAAGTTTATCTCACGGTGGAAATTCGCTAAGGAATACCGTGATATTGTTACTGCTATTCCGTAATAAACTTCTAGTTTTTACGAAAAAACAGCACGTTTATTAGCTATCAGATTATATTCCATCTAACTTCCACTGTGCGACAAACTTGCGAAGTCCTAAGCACGTCCAATCATACAATTTCCCATTTAGTACTATTGGGAGTGTGCATTAATTTTAAGAAATCTTTTGGAAAAAATACGGCTTTATTGTGGAAAAATGATTACAAATTGATCATTCAAAATATTGTCCATCGCTAGCCACTACTTTTTCCCATCTTCCTGATAATAGGTGGATTCCACGTCGAAAAAACGACACATTTTTTGAAGCTATCCACGAATCAACCCATTTTTTGGTATCCTCATTAGAATGGAAGTGCTGCTCAGATAGGCCATGAGTCATCGATCGAAATAGGTGGTAATCGGAAGAAGCAATATCTGGAGAATCGGCGGGTGTGGTAGAACATCCCAGCGCTTCTAACGTTTCCTTGACCGGTTTCGCAACATGTGGCCGAGCGTTGTCGTGCTGCAAAATCACTTTGTCGTGTCTTTTCGCGTATCTGGCCGTTTTTGCTTCAATGCTCGGCTCAATTGCATCAATTGTTGTTGGTGGCGTTCCCCAGTGATGGTTTCGTTGGGTTGGAGTTCATAATACACTACACCCAGCTGATTCCACCAAATACAGAGCATGAGCTTGGCGCCATGAATATTCGGCTTTGCCGTCGATGTTGATGGTTCGCTTATCGTAGCGTATCCATTTTTCATCACTTATCACGATACGATGCAAGAAATTTTTTCTTCTGTGTCTTTGGAGCAACAATTCACAGGTCATTTTGCGCCTTTCGACGTCCCTCGACTTCAACTCGTACGGCACCCAATTTTCTTACTTTTGAATCATTCCAATGGCCTTCAAATCGGCCATGGCCTTCCATGGCATTCCAATGGCGTTGATCGATCAACATTTAATGATTCTGTAAGTTCTTTTTTGATTTTCGGGTCTGGATCGAGTAAAGCTTTCACTTCCTCATCTTCATACTTTTTCGGCTGGCCTGGACGTTTCTTGTCTTCCGTGTCAAAATTACCTTTCTTATAGCGTTGAAACCAGTACTCACATGTTGAAATCGATTGAGTATAATCACTATAAGCTTCCGACAGCATCCGTTGACTTTCAGCAGTATTTTTCTTCAAATGAAAGCAAAAAAGCAAAACTTCCCGCAAATTGCGTTTTGTTGGCACAAAATTCGACATATTCAATGCTCAAAAAAACAATGTTGTTTACACTTCGCCAAAATGACATACTGAAAACTAAAGCCATATGATGGTATTTTGACATGAAGGTAGCAACAATATGGCCCGATACGATATAGTACTAGTTACGCCATCTCTTGAAAATCCTTTAAAATTAATGCACACTCCTGATACATTTATATTATTAGATTGAAAATTATACAAATGATTTTCTTATGTAAGTTGAAAAGTAAATAAAGTAATGGAAACTTACTTCGTGTCTCATTTTGTACAGAATCAGTTTCTTTTATTATTTCTTCAACTTATTTATAATTGTTTCCATGCTGGTTTGAGCTGATTAAATTTATTACTTGTTATTTATTACTTGTCATACATATAAATAATTTATTACTTGTCATAAATATAAATAAATGTAACAATGTGTCAAATTAATTTTAAATATGAGTAAAACGGTAATATTAGCTTCACCACGCGTTTCATTGAAATTTTTTTCGGAATTGTAATAATGTAAATATATTATAACGGTCGACCTTCCCGGCCCGGCCAGTGGATTGGGTCTCAGGCGGATCGGACAGCTCGTCGTATGTCCGAGTTCTGTCAGGCGCAGAAGAAGGAGAGAGAAAGAACCTCAATGTGAAACTCAATAGATTTTTATTCCTTACGTTCTACAGTTGATGGGTAATGACGCGGTGGCAAGCGATCGGTGCAAAGCAATAGCGGGTGACGCAGAACAATAGCGGACGGCGCAAAACCATAAGCGAACGGCGCAAACAATAAGCGAACGGCGCGCACAATAAGCAAACCACGCAAAAGAACGGAACGCGGTCGGTACGATAAGTGCAACGCAGTACGCGGCGAACGGAAGGCGAGTACAGTAGGCGCAACGCGATACGCGGCGAACGGAGAACGATATGGTTGGCGCAACGCGGTATGCGTCGAACGGAAAGCGAGTACGGTAGGCGCGACGCGGTATGCAGCAAGCGGCGACGGTGCAGTAGACGCAAAGTGAAAGATAGCGAAGCGGGAGGCGGAGGCGCACGAGCTGGAAGATATCGGGTCCGCGTAGCGGCCGGATGTAACTGTTGAAAAATCCGCTTGTCAAGACGCTTGACTGAACCAAAGACGCTCGAGTCCGGGTAGCAGAGTATACGGAACGGAGGTACGAGTCTAGAAGTCCGCTTGCCGAAATTCTCGACGGAACCAGAGGCGCTCTAGTCTGGGTGGCGGATTATACGAAATGGAAGTACTAGTCTAGGAGTCCGCTCGTCGAGATTTTCGACGGAACCAGAGACGTTCTAGTCCGGGTAGCAGATTATGCGGAACGGACAGGAGTCGAGCTCGCGCTCAGGATCGAGTCGTTCGGGAAAAGCGACTCGAGGATTTGGTCCTGAGGAGCTCCGCGAGCCGGCTTATATACTCGCTCGGGAGCCCCCCACGCGCTGGCGGCGCGCCGAAGGTGGGAGTTGGTATGTGGCGCGGCGCTCAGGCATTGTGCACGTGCTCGACGTTTCGCGTCACGCGAGCGTCGGCCGAGAGTCGGTGTGCCTGAGAGAATTGTGCAGATCTTAAAATGTGGCGCATTGCATCGTTTCCGACCCGACTTGTGGTTGGTCGGATCGGTCGTGACGATTGTATCGTCACACCACCTCCCCCTCAGGAAAGGTGGAAGGTAGCGTCCACCATCGAGGCCTTCCCCAAGTGGCGGCGGGACGGTCTTGGGGGCTTCGTTGGTGGTCATCGAGGCCGTTACTCGGCGGTGCGTCGCTGCGGAGTTGGCCCTGGAGGTCAAACCGCAGGAATCATCAAGCTCCTCCGGTCCGGAGTTTATATACGTGTGTGCCGCCGCGTGTGGTACGGCGGCGGTCAGCCCTGGCTTCAGTCCTCTACCAGGACGGGCGGTAGCGGTCGGGACCCGGTGAGCTGTTGCCCGATCCGCGTGGTAGCTGGTGTCGGTGCTCCTAGTGACGGCGTTGGCGGCGGAGTTGGTGGTGGCATGATTCGGCCAACCGAGTCAACGCTTGACAGCCCATGGCCGGTGGTCGTTCTCGGTGGGCAGAAGACGACCGTGGAACGGATGGTGGGTCCGCGTGCTCGAGGGGCGGCTGCTGGTTTTTGGAGCAACCAGGTCCTCTTCCGGGCATTGTCGTGGTCCGATCGCTGGCGCGGGATGCCGACGGCCAGGACCGGACGCGGTATCGGCTGCGCGGTTGGCGCCGGGATCCCGTGCTGCTGCCCTCGCTGGAAAGCGCGAAGTGCGCCCACAGCTGATGCTTCCTGTCTTCAGAGATGACTCTAGGTCGCTTCATCATGAGATTTGGTACCGGTAGTTGCCCAGCGTCTTCCTTTTATAAGCGCCGATCGCGTGATTTCCGCATCCGCGGATTGGTCGCGGTACCTGGCGTGACGGTGGGTGTGGGTGGTGGTTTCTCTTCCGGATCGGCGGGAATAGATTCGGTGGTTCCCGGCTTGAGGTCCTGCACATGAATATGACGGTACCATTTCCCCCTCTTTCCGCGGAGATCTACTACAACGGGGGAGGTGATCCGTCGCATCAGTAGGGGGCCGGTAACTTGAGTGCTAGCCCTGCTGCAAAGGCTCCTGTCTTCAAGGAGAGATGACGCTCTCGTTTCCAGACGTTTCATTGCTGGGCGTCAGGCGCGTCGTCGGAGATTGTAGTTGCGCTCCTGTTTCTGGGACGTCTGGGCGAGGTTGACCCGGACGAGTTCGAACTCATCCTTTAGGCGTCGGAAGTGACCCGCCAGTGGGTGGCAGTGGTGTGGTAGGCGCCCGGAGTTCTCGGCCGTGTGTTAGGAACGCCGGGGTATACCCCGTAGAGTCTTTTCTGGCCTTATTAAAGGCAAACTGTAGTTCCAGCAGCTGCTCGTCCCAGTGGCGGTTGTTCTTGCCGACAAATTGCCTGATTATCGTCTTGATCGTGCGGTTGGCTCGCTCAACCGGGTTGTAATGCGGCGTGTACACCGGTGAGGTATGATGCTCGATGTTGAACGATCGGAACAGCGCGCGGAACTTTTCAGAGCAGAACTGCCGACCGTTGTCGGAGATGAGAGTCTGGGGACACCCGTCTCGGTAATAACTCCCGTCGTCAAATGTTGTTGGATGGCGGTCGTGGTGGCCTTCTGCAGATGCTGCAGCTCCATATACTTCGTAAACCGATCTTGCAGGACCAGGAGGCTGGTGTGGTCGTTCCGTGACTGGGGAAGTGAGCCCACGAAGTCCACGCTAACCTGCTCCCATGGTCTTTCCACAGCCCGGGGATGAAGGTGTCCGGCGGGGGACTGTTTGCAACGCCTTATTTCGTAGACAGTTTTCGCATGAGCGAACATACCGAGCTATGCTTCGCTGCATGCCGGGCCAGAAGTAAGTCTGTGCGACGCGACTGATGGTCTTCGCGACTCCCAGGTGCTTCGCGGTGGGCGCATCGTGATTTTCGCGCATCACGCGCTCTTGATCTTCCCACGGCACGTATTGTTTCCATTGCGTGTTGTAGGGTGTGTCGCAGAAGTAGAGGTCGTACAGTCGATGGTGCCACAGTCGTCCGTTCCGGAACAGGTAATCCGGGTGATCGGCGGGTTGCCGGCGGACGGCCTGGACCAAACGGGTATACCAGGGGCAGCGGATGGTCGGCCGGATGACCTAGAGAGCCGGTTGGCGCGAGAGGGCATCGGCCACTTGATTCGAGGTCCCCCGCCGGTGCCGGACCTTGAAGTCGAACTGTTGAAGTTCAAACAACCACCGGGCAAGTCGGCCGGTGGGCGACTCTAGTCGGCGGAGCCACTGGAGGGATTGGTGGTCTGTCAACAGCGTGAAGGTGTAGCCCTCCAAGTACCTGCGTAGGTGTCGGATCCCCCAGAGGACGGCCAGGCCCTCCAGCTCCGTTGCGCTATAATTTCTCTCGGCGGGATTGAGCCTGCGGCTTGCATACGAAATTACGCATTCACCGTCCTCGAGATGCTGGGTGAGGATGGCTCCTAGTCCGAAAGAGCTCGCGTTCGGTATGGAGTATAAATCGTCGACTGAAATCCGGGCAGGCTAGTACAGGTGAAGAGGTGAGCGCAAGCTTTATTTGCTGGAAAGTCTCCTCCTCCGGTCCCAGGCGAATTTGACGTTTTTTCTCGTCAGCCGGGTTAGTGGGTCTACCATGCGGGCGAAATCCCCCACGAATCGGCGGTACCAGGACGCGAGTCTTAAAAACTGCCAAACTTGGTGGATGGTACGCAGAGCGAGCGAATTCATGATTGCTTCGATTTTTCCCAGGTCGGTGCGAATACCCTCGCGGTCGATGACGTGTCCGAGATACTTTAGCTGCGGGGTACAAAAGCGGCATTTCTCGGGGTTGATCCGCAGCTTGGCCCGACGCAGTCGTTGGAACACGTCTTGGAGGCGAGTGTGGTGGTCGTTGGACGTTTCGCTGACAATAATGATGTCATCCAGGTAAATGAACACATGAGGTTCGAGCTCGGGTCCGAACACCGTGTCGATGAGACGCTGGAAGGTCGCGGGGGCGGAGTGGAGTCCAAATGGCATTACGGTGAACTGCATGAGCCCGCGTCCTGGTACGGTGAAAGCGGTGAGCAGCTTATTGGCTTCGTCCAACGGGATCTGCTAGTAGTCGCTCTTCAGGTCCAGCGTCGACAAGTACTTGGCGCCTCGCAATTTATATAGGGTGGGGTGTGGATAAGCATCCTTCCGAGTAACCTCCAGTTTCCGGAAATCGATACAGAAACGATGGGATCCGTACCGTTTTTTTTACGACCGCCACCGACGAGCACCAGGTGTTGCAGGAGGGTTCGATGACGCCCTCGTGCTCTATTTTGGCTACTTTCTGATCATGGTCAATGATGGTCTACATGGCCGGGTTCTGTGGGCGGTATCTCTGCTTAATGGACCGCGGGTCGGTCAGGATTTGGTGGATTTGGTGTTGGATGCGGTTGGTGGATCCCTATACCTCGTCGAAGGCGGCTAGTTCCTTTTCCAGGAACTGCTGGAGGCGTTGGTCTTCCTCGGGTTGTCGCGGTGCCAAGCCCGCTGAAACCTGGCATACGGCTCGGTCGGGTTTGTTGGTTTCCCCTGATCGGGGTAGCAAGGGAATTTGGAGGCTCTGCCAGAGGTCCCATGATGACCTCAGTGTCTAGCTGGTCTAGCACGTAGAACCGGTGCCGTAGTCGGTGGGCTCCTTATCGCACCCTGATCCTTATCTGGCTAGATGTTTCGGTAAGGGCCGTGTTGGCCATTTGTACGGCGGTGGCGAGGCCTCCGGTGACCGCGTCTGCCGCCGGGAGCGCATATATCTCGGTAATGGGCTTGGCTTTCTACATCTCGGTGTCGTGCATAGCGCCATAGTTTTTTAGGCGACGTCCGATGTCGTTGAAGGTGCCGCTGGTCTCGATATCGACCCCAAGCAAGGATTTCGATGATCTCTGCTTTATTGCGCTGATAGATTCAGACTGGCACAAAGGAATGTGAAGGAAAAGGGAGGAGGTTCTCTCTCCACTCTGCATCTTAGTCGGAACAGGTTCTTCTTCGAGCGCCAGTGTGACGGTCGGGCTTCCCGGGCCGGCCAGTGTATCGGGTTTCAGCTCGATCGGACAGCTCATCAAATGCCCTGGTTCGGTTTGACGCAGAGGAGGGAGAGAGAAATAACCTCAGGTTGGAGAATTTAACAAATTGTTCATTTGTTCACGCTATACAGTTGATGTGGTCAAGGCTAGGGCCGCGCAACAGCGACGTATTTGCATCAAAGGTGCGAACGGCGTAAAGCTAGGTGGTAGGCGCAAGGCGGCAAGCGGTCGGCGCAAGACAATAAGCGGACGGCGTAAGCGGTACGCTCGAAAGTGGAAAGCAGTCGGAACAAAACGAAAAGCGGTGCGGTCGGCGCACGAGAACGGAATGCGGTTGACGCAAAGCGGTACGCGGCAAAGCGGGAGGTGGAGGCTTCCGCCTCAGGAGCTGGTGGAAGGCATCGGCGGTGGAAGGGCGCATAGCGGCCGGATGTAGATATCGAGGAGTCCGCTTGTCAAGATGATTGACGGAACCAGAGACGCTCGATTCCGGGTAGCGGATTATATGGAACGAAGGTATGATGTTGTATAGGCGCTGAGACGCTCAGCGGAGTTTGCACTCAGGATTGAGTCGCTCGGGAGAAGCTACTCGGAAATCTGAGGAGCTTTACGAGCCGGCTTATATACCCGCTCGGGAGTCCCCCACGCGTTGGCGGCGCGCCGAAGGTGGGAGTCGGCGCTCAGATATTGTGCATGTTCTCGACGCTTCGCGTCACGAGCTTCGACCGAGAGTCAGTGTGTCTCAGGGAATTGTGGAGATCTTAAAATGTGACGTATCACGTCGTTTCCGACCCAACTGGTGGTCGGTCGGGTTGGTCGTGACGATTGTATCGTCACAATATGCCTGGTGCTAATATATTTGTCTATTCATATTTACTTGTGAACACATTTAGTATAAATTAGGTTTGTTTCGTATATTTCGAGTCACACTCATTTATCTTTCAAAGTATCTGATTGGTTCCGGCGTAATGACGCAATTTACTTCGTATCACATGTGGCTGTCATTTACCAGAAGTTGTGTTCTAATATTTACAGTCAGTTCTGTAAGTTTAAAGTAACTGTAAATTGTTACTAACAATAAGACTGTATATCGTTACTAAGGCTACATATAATAAATAAATAAATAAATCCCTCTATAAAAAGACATGTATATGTCCATTGTTGCCTCTTTTCCGCAATTGGCTGTTTCGAAATCTCGATCTAAATTTTGATGTGACTCGCGGTTATTTCGAGCGGCAATCATCATTGGTTATGTGTTTTGACAAGTCATCGTGAAGGTTACATGTTTTGAATCGTGGAGATTACGTATTTTAACAGATATATTGGTGTTAATTTCTGGTAAGTATTATATATACATGTTGCATCGTTTATATCATATATATATATTTATTATAAAAATTTAGGTTTTAGAGTTACTATAATCCATTCTATGTCCATGACAAGCTTTGTCCATGAAGTTTTATAGTTATTCCAATTATTTTTATCTCTCAACTCTGTTTTCTTCAAATTAGGTAATAAAATCGATTGATATACAGGGTGTCCCATTTTAATCGATCACTTGAAATATCTCTTGAATAGTGCATTTTAGGGAAAAATGTTTCAGATAAAAGTTTTGGGATTTCGAGGGGAACATATGATAATACCATTGGTTTGATCTCAAGTGGCGTTGTCAAGGTCAGGGCAAGAACACTTTGAATTTTTTAAATGGAATCCCCCATTTTTCATTACATATTCTTATAGCATACCTCGAGAGCTTTTTAAAACACTAATAAAATATTTTTTCATTAAATATCTTTCGAGTTAAAAGGCTTCAAAGTTACAATATTGTTGCCATTAGTATTAGTACCCAAGGTATTCAACCGACGGCTAAAACCTTTTGAATGTTGCTCAGGCCCATGACCTTGACAACATTTAAGGCGGTTTGAGGCTGTTCTTAATATTTTAATTTCTTTAAATTTTACAGTGAAAACGAAAATAATAATTTAAAATCAAGGCGTAACATGTGGAGTCCGATTGACTCTGAAGGATTATATGAAGGTCACAATGCTTCGTCGGGGCCACAAAGAAGCACACGTGTGAAATCCCATTAATAAATTTCTTTAATAATCATAGCATTGTGACCTTCATATAATTCTTTAAAGTCAATCGGACTCCACACATGTTACCCAATGATTTTAAATTACTTTCTCGTTTTCACTGTAAAATTTGAAGAAATATTAGGAACAACCTCCAATCGCCTTGACAAATGTTGTCAAGATCATAACCCTGAACAACATTCAAAAAATTTCAGCCGTCGGTCGAATACCTTGGATACCAATGCTAATGGCAACAATATTGTAACTTTGAAGCCTTTTAACTCAAAAGATACTTTATGAAAAAATATTTTATTAGAATGTTTTGGAAAGCTCTAGAAGTATGCTATAAGAATATGTAATGAAAAATGGGGGGTTCCATTTAAAAAATTCAAAGTGAACTTGTCCTGACCTTGACAACGCCACTCCAAATCAAACCAATAATATCATCTTATGTCCCCCTTGAAATTCCAAAACTTTTATCTAAAACATTTTTCCCTAAAATGCACTGTTCAAGAAATATTCGAGGTGATCGATTAAAATGGGACACTCTGTATAAAATCAAAACAATTTATTAATAAACAAACCAACGCTTATGTGAGAGAATGTTAACCCTCTTAACGTGTGTCGCGGATCCGACGGGTGAGCGCGTCCGTCGGGCGGCGAGCGAGTTCGCTGATATCGCCCAGCGCAGGACGCGGTGAAGTGAGGTATTTCAGTTGAAAGAAATGAGAAGTTTCTTTACACAATCTTTCTTTATTGGACACTTGTCACAGTCTCACATGAATGCGAGGAACCAATGGTTTATAAGAATCGAAGCGGAGATCTTCAAGGTGCCGACGGCCGAGTTAGCCGCGCGCGACAGAAATCTTGACGAGCGCACGGCCGGCGCTCCGCGAGCGGAGATCTTGAATGGGACGCCGGAAATCTTCCGCGACCCTGGCACTCGCATCCGCGAAACCGTCGATCCAACGCACTCGTGATCCGTTCACACGTTCGCACAAGAACAATTGATACACTTAAATCGAAGAGTTCGGCAGTGAGCTGCGAGCACATACAAACTGTTCATCACGATAAATCAGAGCTCCGCTGCGAGCCGCGAGCACAGGTGGAATTTTAACACCGAGAATTACGAGTGCCGCGGAGACTCGCGAGCACAGACGGACTATCGCCGTAGAGACCGTGCGACGGGCGCGATCCGCCGTCCCAGAAAACTCCTGGCGATCGAGAGAAGCCTTGTTACCGCGGTGATAACGCGGAGAGCGCGGCCGCCCACGGAGCGATCGGCCTTCGCGACACGCGCGAGAGGAGAACCGGCCCGAAAAATGATTTGATCTCCGGCTCTCGCAAAGGTGCTCGATGCACGAGATCGACGCGACTCTCGAGCGCTCCAGAGACACTCACTGGATCCGCAATCGCTAAAGGATAGCCGTCCCGAGATGCGAAAACGAACTCCGGACTATCTCTCGTTAATTAGATGATCGTCTTGGATTTTAGCGAAAAAAAACGGCTACGCACCGTGGACAACGCGAGCCCGTCGCAAAGACGATGCTTGCTCGAATATTCTAGAACATTCGATGCATGTTTTCGAGACTTTTTTTAGCAATCTTGAACAACGTGCAAATTAAAACTCTTCCACTGAAAAAAAAAATGGTTAAAATAACTATAATCTCATATTTTTTCGTATATAGCAATTAGCTAAATAGCGCACGCCTGTATTGTTTTAGTATATAGTATATATATATTGAGTAAATGTGTTCTTTATGTCCTTACAAA